AATGGAATTTTGTCTGTCATTGCTAGAGGGATGGAGTTTAGAAACAGGGAGGCTATGCTGCAGCTGTATAGGGTCCTGGTAAGGCCACACCTGGAGTATTGTGTGCAGTTTTGGTCTCCTTACTTGAGAAGAGATATACTGGCACTGGAGGGGGTGCAGAGGAGATTCACTCGGTTGATTCCAGAGTTGAGAGGGTTGGATTATGAGGAGAGACTGAGTAGGCTGGGATTGTACTCATTGGAATTCAGAAGAATGAGGAGAGACCTTATAGAAACATACAAGATTATGAAGGGAATAGATAAGGTGGAGGCAGAGAGGTTGTTTCCGCTAGCAGGTGAAACTAGGACTAGAGGGCATCACCTCAAAATAAAGGGAAGAAGATGTAGGACTGAGGTCAGGAGGAACTTCTTCACCCAAAGGGTTGTGAATCTGTGGAATTCCCTGCCCAGTGAAGTGGTTGAAGCTACCTCGCTGAATGTTTTTAAGGCAAGGCTAGATAAATTTTTGAACAGTAAAGGAATTAAGGGTTATGGTGAGTGGGCAGGTAAGTGGAGCTGAGTCTCAAAAAAATCAGCCATGATCTTACTAAATGGCGGAAAAAGCTCGAGAGGCCAGATGGCCTATTCCTGCTCCTAGTTCTTATGTTCTCCCTTATAAATTCCTATCTCCTGATGGCATCTGCTTCATATTTTGATTAAAGTACTTAGGGCTTGTTAATGGAATACAATAATGTCTAGATTGTGTAAAGTGTAAATTCACTGACTTTCCAAAAATAATTGCCTTGTTGTATTCCATGTCAATTTTAAATCAAACTATTTTTATTCACCATTTCTTTAGAAATGAGAGTATTTCACTTGACACTACATCTATGCTGATGAAATGATTCACCCCAGCTATGTTAAAGGGAATCACCAATCTTCTGAATGATTTCAGCACGTTGTGATTCCCCCAGCCTGAAGCAGTGAGAACTCTCAAATTCCTTAACCTTACTTTCATCTTTATTATTTAAGGAATCCAGGTAACATTTAACCAATCCATCCCACACACTGTGGACATGTATCCACTGTCCAAAACCTCAAAACTGAAAGAGTCCATGACTCAAACTTTCATTATTGGGTAGAAGCTCCTCATTACTCACACATATTCATCTGCTTAATTAGTATCTCCATTTCTGCCTTCTGAATTTTCCACGTCATGTGTAATTTCGAAACCATATTATTTCATTTAAGACAATTCATTGTATAATACTCTTTTGACTCACATATAGAATATCACTTTAATATTTCCTGAACAGTTCTGGGATTCACTCTTCTAAGTTCCCCAATTCCTGTCATCTGTTATAATTATCAAATGTCTCTCTATCCTCATGTCTTTACTTGTAATTCTCCTCTCTCATAAATTTTTGTAGCCTATATCTGAGCAGTCTCTCATTGTCTCATATTACTACTGAACACTCCATTCTTTGTGACACTGCTAAATAACTCATTTAAGCCAGAAAGCCAGTAAGAATGAATATTTTCCCAGATATATTTTTAAGAATCCTGATATCAAGTCAAAATCTATCCACTGTTGATACCAATCCACAGTCGCTGTACCAATTCAAATTATTCTGCTAGTAGCATTCAATAACAGAAACTAGTGAATCAATAAACAAAGAAATTTAACTAGTTGCTAGGCACTACATAACTTGAGTATTGCTGAAAACAAAGAGACCAACTGTCAAAACATCATTTCGGCACATACCAGGAGAGAATCGCAAAAATACCAAATTTTAAGGTGAACAACAATTTATACTGGAAGAGATAAAGGTGCCAATGGTTGGCAAATGGACTCTTGATTGGTTGAGATATTGGTATGGGGAATGCACCAGGAAACAGTTGTCCCAAGTTTTTCTCTGGTTTAAAATAAAACAAAATGTCTTGTAGTAAGCTCTCCTTTATTATTCGTTTCTCAAGAGATATTGCCATTGCTGACTAGACAAGCGTTTATTGCCAATCCCTATTTTCCATCAACCAGGTAGTGGTGAGCCACCTTCTTGAACTGCTGCTGTACACTGTGTATATTCACAGTGCTGAGAAAAGGACTTCTCGGATTGTGACCCAGCAATAGTGAAAGAACGGAGATTTAACTTCAAAAGAACGATGTGTTGCTCAGGGGAGAGTTTGCAGGTTGATAGTGCTTTCAACAGCACCTTGGTGAATTGCTGCAGTGCATCTTGTTAATGGTACACACTGCCGTCTCTTTGCTTCAATGAATGCTTAAGGCATTAGATCATGGATCAAGGAGGTTACTTCCTCTTGGGTGACATCGAGGTTCTTGATTATTATCGGTTCTGCACTCTTTCTAGCAAGTGCAGAGTATTTCATCACAACACAACTTTTCTTTCCCTGCTTGGAAAGGACATGGCCCCAAATATGAATATATTCAGCTTTTAGCAAATCTATATGCATCACATTGCAAACAGAACTAAAATTCAGAGATAGTAGGAACTGCAGATGCTGGAGAATCCGAGACAACAAGGTGCAGAGCTGGATGAACACAGCAGGCGAAGCAGCATCATAGGAGCAGAAAGGCTGACGTTTCGGGCCTCAACCCTTCATCAGAACTTTAATTCAGCTCCTTCTTCTCAGAGTATAGATTGGTGTTCTCTTCAAAATTCGGTAATCTTCAATTCTGGGCAAATAAGTTCAAAACAAAAAACTTCAACAGTATGTATGACTCTTTCAGCAATAAATTGAACAGCTTTGCAAACTGTCTACTGTCCTCATATTGACTTGCCCGGCCTTGAGGACCCCAGTTTGAAAACGTGAGAAAGACAATTGTGCAGGGATAAAATAATATACAGTGATTGGATTTTTTTTTCAATTCATCAAATTCTTCCAACATTTAAATAATCTCCAACCTTATCTAGTTTCATACTTGCAAAAATCGTTCAATAGAGGAAAATCTGAAACAGTGTTAATAACCTAATGGACAGCTTACAACAGAAATATGTGCTGTTACTTTAAACTATGTCCAATTGCAAGAACCCACCCATAGATTCATCCGAAGTGTACCTTCAGGATTGCCCAGGCAACTTCCGCAACCTGCCTTTCCTTGCAAACTGACCCTATAT